CAGTTTTGATGCTGTGTCGAGGTACACAAACATTCCTGTTCACGGGGCTATTCAAGCTCTGATACAAAATCCGGAGGAGCATCCAGAGGTAACACAAGTACTAAAGTTTAGTGTAGCTTCCATTATTAGACTTAGTAACCTTTCCATGAGTACCACATATTTTACCTTTGACTGTAAGTTATACGAACAAACACAAGCACTAGCGATGGGATCTTGCCTGGCTCCCTTCTTGCCGAACAATTATGTGGCAAGATTGGAGGAACATTTCCTGCAAGAGGCAATGCTAACCCCTAAATTGTTGGTTAGTAACATGGATGACCATTTTGTCATCTGGCCTCATGGGAAGGAAAGTTTAGATAGTTTCCCACTTTCACTCAACCAGCGTGAAAGGGACATAAGGTTCACAATAGCAATAGAAGAGAATAAGTCCTTAAATTTTCTGGATGTTCTCATAATTAGAGAAGAGGGTATGTTAGGAAATGATGTTTATAGAAAGCCAAAATATGCTGTTTCTTGGCTTAATTTTTTTTCGTACCACAGTTACAAGACTAAGGTTATAATTTTGGAGCCGATGATTATTAGAAGTGTGAGGTTAGCGAATAGCAAACATTTGACCAAAGATTTTTGTATACAAATAGAGTTTCGAAACTACCATTAAATCAGTTATATGACATTCATTGAGCCTATTTCGTGTTAGGTGATGAAGGGCTGGAACGGCTGACAAATGTATTATTGTAAAATAATTATCCTTTCGGCCGCATTGAGAGTAATATCGCTTTACTGAGGAATACATTTTCAGACGGACACTATTTAGTCAAAGATAGACAGGCTGAGACCTTTTCCCATGTCATGCTTTCTGTCAAAAAAGACAGGCGAATTAGTCATTATCATCATTATTATAATCCTTATCGAGATCCATCTGCTACAAGAGTGTTTGCTCATGAGGTCAATGTTATGTTGATGAGACATGCCGACCCATTCGACAAAGATTGGCAGAACACAAAAATGCTTGTAAAGGAAGCCGAGCAGGCCGGCCAGAGACTGGACATGAGTAGTCTTGTTGACTATGGAACGTCTGCTGTTCAAGGGAAGATGGGAGAGGCTATTGAAATGGATAGATTAAGGAATACGTTGATTGAAGGGAATGGTGATGGGAAGTTGAGTAAGAACTACTTACATTTGCTTGATAGATTCCAAAATAAGGTGATCCAAATTGTGTCTAACTTCACTCACACTCGTCCAACATGTTAGATTACGCAACCCAATCTTGCATTACCTCGGGTGTCCAAACATTAATGACCCTCGACAAGTTGTTTAGTAATTTCAATTACATGCTTACAAGCTCATATCTCATCATCTTAACCATACTTGTTTACGGACTTACGCAGTCTC